AGATAGTACTAGTGATAGTGGAAGTTCTAAGGAATAATATAGTATACTGCGATAGTTTATTAATTGTGATAAAAGCGCGTGATATCGCCTTGACGTTGAAGCGCTGGTGGGGCGCGACCGATTCGCTTGGGCAACCGATTCGCTTGTGAACCACGTTAATAGTTTATTGACTGTGATAAAAATGCGTGATAACGTCTCGACGTCGACGTGCTAGTGGGGAGGTGGCCACTCGCTTGGGGTGGCCACCCGCTTATGAACTACGTTGTATTTTTTTGGATCAAATTTGTTCATGTTCTCCAGTGTTGGAAGTCGTGTAAATGTTCCATTTTACTTGACAAACGTATTCACAGGCAATCTGTACACATCAATGGTCCAGTATGGCCTCCTAGTTCCCTCCCACTGATCACTTCCATGCAATCCCTCCGGAACATTGATGTCCTCCCACTCTGTATCGAAGCCTGCCTCGTACAGATCCATTTCCGCAACCTGCCGCACCACGTTAGTCATCTTTCTCCCCCAAAAAACCCACTTGCACACATACCTTGGTATAAACATCGTAGCAAATCTGTCTATCAGCTCCAAGACCATTATACCACCCAAACTTTCCATCCTTGGCTAGCAACGCAACCACATACTCGGAGAAGAACTCCTTGAGCGCCTTGTAATCCTCTGCAAAAGTATCATAGTAAATGGCATCCAACACAACACCCTGCTCAATAAGCTTGGGCAGAATATCTTGCCACCTTCCCTCGTGAATCTTGACATTGGGCTTGTCGTACCAGCCCTTCTCGCGGAGCCGCTGGTGTACCTGCGGATGGGCTTCAATGATGTGGTGCTCAGCGGGATCATGCGTTAAGATTGCTGTGTCTACTATACCCATACCGTGACCAACATTCTTTTTGTAGGTACGAAGTTAGTACATGTCTCACATACATTTCGTACATGTATTTCTTACCATTGTGCGAAGGCCTGGCTTGGGGATTAGAGTCTCGGCGTGGCGCTGCATGATTTGCGTTTCCCAGTCCATCATGACGGCATTGTCGCTTTCGTCGAGGAGAATACCAGATTTGTAGCGGAGTTGGCTCTTGAGGTAGGCGTGATTGTCTAGGGAGACGTCATCGAGGACCTTTTCTGAAGTGGGTTGCTCGACGGGTTTGGCATCTTCCGTGGATATCTTTTGTTTCTTGGCGGCGGGTTGCTCCTCGAGGATCTCGGCCTCTTCTTCGACTTCTTCGGCGGGTTCGCCCATGCCCAAGGCTTCCATTCGGGCGAAGAGAATCTCAGCGCGGACACCGGCTTCGACCATCATGTCGTAGATCTTTTTCTGGCCAAGACGGAGTGCGATGCAGCCTGGAGTTTCATCTTCCTTGTTGAGATCGTTCCAGATGGCGCCATTTTGGAGGAGTGTTTCCACGGTTTGAATCGCCTCTTCGCTCGCCTCCTTTCTTTCTTCGGCCTTTCCGCAAGAGGCAATTGCTGCGTGAAGCGGTGATGTTGCTACTGTTGCCGTGGGGTCCTGGACGTTTGCGGAACCGTCCTTGAGCAGAATGTTCAACGCCGGCACATCGTGTCGCTCGGCCGCAGAAATGATGCGCTTGGCTAGCAGAATATCTTCCTCTGTAGCTTGTTCGGCCATTTTGGGTGTATAGTGTATTGACGTCTTTGCCAGGCCAAACTGCAAAGAAACGACTGTGGGGTTGTAACTTTTGTGCAGGGATCAGGATAAGATAAGCGAATACTAGTGCTTCACTGCCATTGCCTGTTTGGGTAAGACATATGCAAATGAAGCCTACTCCACCAGCGAATTTCAACTTTGAACAATTTTGTGTTTATTATACTATTGAGTAATCCGAGTCGCTGATCAAAACATCCGAATACATCTTTGAAGAAAAGCACGGTGAAAATTACCCAAACAATGTACAGTTTCCGAGAAAAAAACATACTCTAGCATGATGATGCATAGCCCAAATAACTGATATACAAGTTGGATACGCATGCAAATCTATGACACCATCCACCAAGCGCCAACGAGAATCGAAACTAGGACCAAAATGGTCAAAATGCTAGCGCCCGCCTTGTCACCAGTAGTAACGACATTGAATGTAATAGGCGTATCGGTCGAAGTGTCACCGGCGTTGGGGTTGCTCTTGGAGATACCGCCCTTGTCCAAGGTCACAGGACCGGGCTTGGTAGTGTACAGCAATGACTGAATGATCTCCATGGCGGACATTTGCTCGCCAACACCGAAGCTACCGTCGTTGACTCCTCCGTCGATCCATCGAAGACCACATGATGTCTGGTTGGGACCTCCGTTGCACTGCTTGGCAGCAGCTTGGGCAGAGGCCTGAATGAGAGGATTGAGTTGATCACGAGTCCAAGGGGCGACGGCAGCAGTGTATGCGATGAAGCGAGAGAGATAGGCTTTGAAGGAACGCTGGTCGACGTCACACTTGCCGTTGTTCTCACATGCAACCTCAGTCATGACGTTGTTCTTGAAGAAGACATTAATTCCATCTATTACACCCTGAACACGGCCACGCCATTTGTCATTTTGAGTCTGTTCGTTGTTAGCACGTGATCATGGACAACAAATGTTTATCTGATACTTACCACGTTCCACATGGCGGCAGCACCTGCCATATGTATTCCAGCATTGTAGGTCCACTGGATATGGTTGATGGAAGTACAGTTCTGGGTGTCGTCGGTTCCATCGTAGAAATGGTAATCGTCGCTCATGAGTCCAATGGTATGCTCCCAGTCCCAGGCCTTCTCAGCCCAATCGGCATATGTGTCGTTGCCGAGGTATTTGTAGAGTCTTGCAGCAATGTTGAAGAAGCAGCCGTTAGAAATGGTGTTCTTGTAATTGTAACCGTTGTTGAAGGTGTAGATTTGCCATCGCAGACCTCCGCCGCACGTAGTCGTCTCCCAGCGCCTATACTGGGTGTTGAAGACGGCCTGTGCTAGAGACAGCCAAGAGGGCTGGTTGTCTGGGAGATCAGGAAGCTTGTTCTCTGCTGCGGACAGAGCGGCCATTCCCCAAAAGGCTTGATCGTCGTTTCCAAGCGTCTTGGACTGATTTGAAGGCATGAAAGTGCCGTCATCTCCCATCTGGTGCTGCAAAGCTTGCGTGGTGATGGTGTTGTATGTGTCATCGCCAGTATAGTACCAGTAATCAATGAAGGCGTTGAACATGGCACCACACTCCCACCAGTAGTAAGGGTCTGGAAGATTACCAGGGACATCGCCTGGCCGGTCACCAGTGTAGTAAGACCGGAGGTTTATAGCAAGGGCCTTGGCAGCCTGCTTGATGGAGTCTACAGATGTCAGTGTGAGGTGGTAGGAGACATGAGGCAGGCAGTCCCACCTGGCGAGTTGATGTCGAGGTCGACTGCTCCTACGCCGGAGAGCAATAGACCCGAGGCGCCAATGGCGCCGAGCGCAGACGTCAGCTTCATATTAAGTGGTCGGAGGGCAATGCGACTTGGAGTCGCAGTCGTCTAGTGGACAAAAGCGAAGAAGATCAAGCGCCAGGCTTGAGGGGCAAGCGATGCGCAGTGGTGCCAATACGGCCAAGATGGCCAAGGTGGTGGAACGTGGGGTATGGCAGAAGGGCGTGGCTGGTGTCGAGGATGCAACGAGCGACGGATTCAGGGAGAGCAGAGCAAGCGCAGAGCGTTGAGAGCGGACGGAGAGTGGCGCCTGGGGATGCGAGACGGGGTGGTGCAGCGAGCGTGTTGAGGGTAGCAGGAAAGAAACGGGAGATGGCGCAAGATCAGCAGCAGAGGGCAGGCAGTGGTTGCGAAGACAGAACTCCTGAGCAGGAGAGCAGCGACAAGGCAGAGGCGCAGCGGCGGCGGCCGGAGATATGGGCTAGGACACGCGTCTTGGCGATCAGGGCAGCTCGCCGGCCCACTGGCCCTCGTCTGCTCCTCTGGCCCCTCTGGCGCCTGTTTCTGCCCTTTGGCGCCCCCTCGCCTTGCTCCACCAGGCCCAGTTGATAGGCGGGCCACCAGCACCCCGTCCGCTGTCCTGCTGCAAAGAGCGTCTCGAAGCCATGCTCAGGCACACGCGATGCAAACACTTGAGCGATGTGGTTATGCTGATGAACGCCTAACGGGATCAAGAAGCTTCGCAAGCTTTCTCGGCGCAACCTGCGTTTAGTGCGCTGCATTTAGAAAACAAAGAAAGAAAATGGCCTCGTCATGGCCGCCCAGCAGTCCAGAACCACTGCCCGCCTGCTTGCGCGAAGAAATGTCGTATTCCCTGCGGCTGAGGCATGGGGGGCGGGTGCGTACAGCAGCCCCGTCAGCTTTGCGACGTAACAGCGGCAACAAGGGCAGCGTCTGGAAGTGAAGTGCCGCGAGGCGTGCTGACATAGCGTGTATCCAAGTAGAGGTACGTAAGTACACAGGGGAACTGCGATGGATTGTTGTCGTCGTCTTTGTGCTGGTCTGGTTTGTCGCATGCTTGGGCGCTGACGCAGACGAGCGGCTGGTGGCGACCCCAGCCACAGGACGAAGCGTACTCTACTCTACACCACAACGGGTCACGTGAATTGTGGCGCAGCGGGCCCGAAGCAGACTGGAGCCGCCGTTGTGCTTGCCGTCAGTTGCATCACGCTGGGAATGCCGTCACCAAGGTAAAATCGTCCGTAGTGCCTGTCAGCTTGTTGCAATAACATCCCATATCCGCTCGAATATCCGCTGTCTCCGAATTTGGTCTTGTTGCGCCAAGTTTCACGCATCCCTCCGCCTCAGTGCTCAAACGGTAGCTGACACATTACGCTCGTTCATCCGGGCTGAGCGGGCTCTTGAGTCTTGGTTCTCTCGACTACCACACCACCTTCTCTCTTCACTCACACCCTCCCGACACCACCCACCCTCCATATCCGCACCACCCGCCACTGTCGCACGCTACCCAGCTTCTCTACAGCATCTCATCTGCAAACATGTCCAACCGTGAAGAACCTCCATATGACCCCTACATTCCCGGCCCCCATCAGAATGGCAGCGGCGGCGGCGACGGCCCTAATGGTAATCACCGCACCGCGGCACTTCAAGCTGTACGTCGTCACCCTCCCACCCTGCCAGAACAGAGCGACTCAGCGATGCCTTGCACCGGCATGTCCGCAAGAGCACTCGACACAACGTAGCCTGTTTCGAGACGGTTGCGATAGCGACTCCGCTGGTCCGCGCCCTTGGGCAGCACCTGGACCGCCGTGCGCATGTGCGAGCTGCGCAGCTTCAACTGGCAGAAACTTGTGTATGCGACATGATCCGCTGACTCGCAGCCCAGGAAATCGACAGCACCGTCGGCATCATGCGCGACAACATCAACAAGGTCTCTGAGCGTGGAGCTCGCCTAGACTCGCTGCAGGACAAGACAGACAACCTTGCTGTCTCTGCCCAAGGCTTCCGAAGGGGCGCCAACCGCGTGCGCAAGCAGATGTGGTGGAAGGACATGAAGATGCGCATGTGCCTCATTGTCGGCATCATCATCCTGCTGATTGTCATCATTGTCCCTTCGGGTAAGCTTGCCCTGGAAGCCCCCCGTTTGTTTGGTCGCCGAGTACTAACACACCCCACAGTCGTAGCTACGCAAAAGAAATAAACCCTCCCTATATGAGATACCACGAATTACACACATTAATAATGGCACGGAATGAAGCGAGTCTGTAGGGGGAGAGCCGCTGGTGAAGGGGGCGAGTGGCTACGAGCTGCACCATGATCAACGACATCCGTCTCTGTAGGATCTATCTTTAGGCGAATAGGGAGCGATGGGTCGAATTTCTTTCTTGTCTTTGTTTGCACTCGCACGGCTGTGCCGCAATCCTGTAAAGCACGATTTGCATGGAACGGGCCGCTCCTGCTACGAAGTCTGATGAGGCTAGTTCCACGCATGATGGCCAGACGAGCAAATGGAGTTTTCTTGTTATATGTACATGCATGCAAGTGTATCGACATGTGCGTGACTTTTGTGACGGTGATTGTGAGAAGGCCAGAAGCAGCATGCAAGGCCCATGTCAGCGTTAGAGCTAGCCTTGCGGCCGAAGAGTGACAGAACAAGGTGCCCCCTCCTCCCCCGTCCCCCCAGTGCAGCGCAGCGCCGTGCAGTGCAATGCGGGCGCGCGAGGGTGTGTGGGCTGCATGCGGGCGATGCTGGATGACCAATGGCCATTACGCACGCCCCTGGAGCCAGAAAAAGTGCTCGCTGGCCCAGATGTCTGGGGAAGAAGCGATAACGGCGGCGGGCGGAGCGAATTTTGTTGCTTCGGCGTCATATCACACATCGGCCTGGGTCCCGCTCCCTCCAGTCCCCACCGTCCAGTCACGGTAGTCAATTTGTGTCTGATTGAGTCGTCGGCTTGGGCCTGGGTAGCCTCTGCTTCTTGCGAGCACTCACAATCACCATGCAGAGCATTGTACGAGCTGGCCGTGTAGCGGCACGATCCTCCCACCGCGTCCTCGCACCCCAAGCCCGGCGAGCCCTCCCGCGAGCCCTCGTCGCGACCACAACGCCCGCCCGCCTCTACACGTCCTCCAAGGATGGGCGCAACTCGTCCATCTATGCCGCCTTCCTCAACCTGCTGGCCAGCTCCAGCTCGCGCCGCGAAGTCGACCAGTACTTGGGCCAGTTCCGCTCCGTCTCACCACACCAATTCGCCGTAGTCAAAGTCGGAGGCGCTATTCTCACCGACCACCTTGAAGAGCTTTGCTTCGCCCTCCAGCAGCTCCACGCAATTGGCCTGTATCCCATCATCGTCCATGGCGCTGGCCCCCAGATGAACCAGTTGCTGCTCGAGGGAGGTGTCGAGCCAGACTTTATTGATGGCATTCGCGTCACGGACAAGAAGACGCTGGGCATTGCCCGCAAGCTCTTCTTGGAGGCAAACATGGACTTGGTCATGACCCTCAAGCGTGATTGGGGTGTCCCTGCACGCCCCATCACCGCTGGTGCGCTGCAGGCCGACTACCTGGACAAGGACAAATGGAAGTATGTTGGCAACATCACCAATGTCAACAGGAGGCAGATCATGGACGCTCTCGAGAACAAGGAGCTCCCCATTCTCTGCTCCATGGGCGAGACAATTGATGGGCAGATCCTCAACATCAACGCCGACGTAGCTGCAGCAGCTTTGGCACGCGAGTTCCAGCCTCTCAAGGTCATTTACCTCTCCGAGAAGGGAGGCCTGTTCAATGCCGAGTCCAAGCTCATCCCTCACATCAACCTCGAGGGAGAGTACGATACTTACATGAAGCAATCGTGGGTCAAGTACGGCACCAAGCTCAAGATTGTAGAGGCAAAGAAGCTCCTAGACGGTCTCCCACGCACTTCCAGCGTTGCTATTACACACCCTTCCAACCTCGGAAAGGAACTCTTCACCCACACCGGAAGTGGAACGCTCATTCGCAACGGAGGCAGCGTCAAGGAAATCAGCAAGTTTGAGGACTTGGATGCCCCTGCCCTTGTTGAAGGCATCACCAAGAGCCGAGGAGCTGAAGCAAGTGATGCCGTCAACCGATACATCCAAAACTTGAAGAACCGTCCGTTCGAGGTTTTCCATGATGACTCCATGGGCGTTGTCGCTGTTGTGTACCCCCCTACGGCCGAGGGAGAGTTTGCCCAGCTATCCCACTTCAGTATGACCAAGGACGCCTTTTTGAACAACCTGAACGATTTGGTCTTCCAGCGCATGAAGCAAAAGTACCCCAAGCTCTACTGGATTGTGGATGACCAGTCACAGAACTATGTCAAGTGGCACCTGGAGAAGACGGACGGTTTCCTTCGCCGTGACAAGGAAATCTTTTGCTGGTGGGGAGCAGCCGAATCCTCGGAAATCTTCTCGCTACTGGAGAACTACCAGAAGCAGGGCCGTAGCATGTTGAAGGACAGCCTTGACGCTCAGTTCCGAAGGGCAGCCGACTTTGTAGCCAGCTTAAAGCAGGGCCAGCAGACACGCGCATACACTACCATTGCTGGTTCTTCTACAAGGCCTGGTCTGAGGTACGTAAAAAATCGTCCAGCTCACTCCTCTAAGCAAGCCTCTTTTGATCTTCGTCGCTAACCTAACAAGCAGACAAAACAGGTTTGCACCTGCATCAACCCGAGGCTTCTCTACTACCGCACAGCGCTCCATGGAGACCACCAACCCCAACCCTCCGTACGGAATCAAGCACAAGAGCAGGGACTATCCTGCTAAGGTCGCATTGATTGGCGCACGCGGTTACACCGGTCAAGCTCTGATTGAGCTGTTTAACAAGCATCCCAACATGGACTTGCGCCATGTATCATCACGTGAGCTTGCTGGCAAGAAGCTAGAAGGCTACACCAAGCGTCAGATTACCTATGAGAACCTGTCAGCCGAGGATGTCAAGAAGATGGCTGAGAATGGAGAGGTAGACTGCTGGGTCATGGCTCTTCCTAACGGTGTATGCAAGCCATTCGTTGATGCAATCAACGAGAGCGGCAAAGACCCTGTCATTGTTGATTTGAGCGCCGACTACCGATTCGACAGCTCCTGGACCTATGGACTGCCAGAAACCGTCAACCGCTCAGAGCTCTCAGACGCCAGGCGGATAGCAAACCCTGGATGCTATGCCACAGCTGCTCAGCTTGGCATTGCACCTCTCCTTGAATTCATTGGCGGTCAACCCACTGTTTTTGGTGTTTCTGGCTACTCGGGAGCAGGCACCAAGCCCAGCCCCAAGAACGATGTCAAGAATCTTGAGAACAACCTCATTCCATACAGCTTGACGGACCACATCCACGAGAAGGAAATCTCGCGCCAACTGGGCCTTGAGGTAGCCTTCATCCCACATGTTGCTGCTTGGTTCCAGGGTATTCATGTAAGTCTTGTCCTAATCTCCTGAATCCAGCACCCATGTCACCTGACCTTGCTAACCTTTTTTTACAGCACACAATCTCCATCCCTCTCAACCGCACCATGACCTCCCGGGATATCCGCAACCTGTACCAGGACCGTTATGCCGGCGAGAAGCTAGTCAAGATTGTCGGAGAATCCCCACTTGTCAAGAACATCTCCGGCAAGCACGGTGTAGAAATCGGTGGTTTCGCAGTCCACAGCTCCGGAAAGCGCGTCGTCGTCAACGCCACTATTGACAACCTGCTCAAGGGCGCCGCAACCCAGTGCTTGCAGAACATGAACCTTGCACTTGGCTACGGCGAGTACGAAGGCATTCCTTACTAAGCATAACGACTGGTTGTATCCGTCTTTCTTTCTTTTTTGAAATGGCAAATGGGGGATAGGAGGGAATCGGGGAAAGTGCATAGTGATTCAAAAAAATAGGAAAAACGATGAATTACAATGGCGCATGCATCACAAATGTACTAGATGGACTTTTTTTTCCTATCTCTTCTGTCTTCGTTGGACTTGTAGATATATCCAATTCCACACGTATTTCTATGCTGAATTAAGCCCTTCGTCCTTTTTCCATCTGCCTGAAAAAAGAAAACGGTTGCCTTACATCTGCGGATTTGTATAACTCTGTGCTTAGCAAGAAAAATATCTGGAAGAGAAAGACAGCGTGGCGTCGTCTCGTCTCGTGTTCCGTTGGCGCCTAGTACTTACGTATTTCTCGGCATAAGCAGAGTATGCATAACTATACGGAGTATAACGTGGTTCACAAGCGAGTGGCTCACCCAAGCGAGTGGCTCACTCCCCACCAGCGCGCCAACATCAACACTACAACGCGTGATGCCTCAACAACGCACTACTCAAACTCTCTATACTGAAGCA